CCTATAGATCATTTTCCTAGATGGTTCTGCTATGATTAGTGTCTGGTCAAAAAGCTTCAGCAGATATTTCCTTTCCAACAATTGGTCCAGTTATCAATGCTATTTTCAAGTTTTGAACAACTCTACTTTCAAGATCTACATGTGCCGATGTTTCCGTTTATCAACATTATATTTTAAGTTCTGTGCAAGAACTCAGCTAACAGATGTTTCCACTTATAAAAGCTATCTTCAAGTTTTGTACACCAAAAAAACATGAAACTGTAAGATGAAAAAAAAAATTTATTCTTAAAGAAAATCACTTCACTTGGACACATTCAAATATCTTGTAAAATACTTTATTAAAAGGTTTGATTCTTTTTATACAACAGACTTTTCACATTTTCTAGAATCTTGCCAATATTCATGAAGAAGCACATAATAAATTCAGAATTATTGTAAAAATTAATTCTCCAATTGTATTGACCCATACATTTAGGGTTAAATATTTTAATATTTATCATGTTAAGTACAATATACAATGAGAAGTGGTGGTTGTCCATGCTTAACTTCATTAATTTTACAAGAAGGAATTTATTATGTTTGTTTACTCAACATATACGAGTTTTTCTTTAAGCAAGAATTAATGATTGATTTGATATGTTTTGCTTACATTTCATTTTGTGCATATTTTTTTGTTAAGCTATTTGTGGAAAGTTGTTATTGGAGCAAATATATAATACTTCTTTCAGTAAATTACATGCTTAGTTTAGTTACTAACACAACTCTAGTTTTGTGAATTAATCATGATGTGTGAGTTGGAGAAAAATATATGGTCAGGTATTGTGTTTGATGACACTATTTAAATATGTTGTTCTGATATACACCGTTATTAAAACATAATATTTGGTTCTAATACCTATATTTTCAAAAGGTTAGAATGAAAATCATGTATACATATATTAATCTCAGTTGTATAGTAGCTTTAATTATGTAACCCTACGTTAAGAGGCAGCTGCTGACTGTCACATTTTAAATTGTAAAAGTTGTTTCAGACTGCTTTTTCTGAGCATAAAAAACAGTAATCTGTCCTGGCCCACCTAATAACCAGATTTTTGTTCTACCAAACCATTATAAAGTGTTCTGAAACCAGGCTTTGACATTGTTTTCCATCTTTAACATCCTTAGAAGAATTGATAGTAGCTCTTAATTAGAAATGGTGTAATACACCTTTTGTAATGTTCCAATTTTTTGATTTTTCATTTCTAAGTCAACCTTCATAGTGTTGTTGTGAAGTACCAGTATCACATTTATCCTGTTTTTTTGCAAGTGTGTCTATTCTGTAATTCAGTCACTATTCATTATTCCTGTCTTCCAATGTAAAATGTTTCTTAACTTGGATTTATTTACTGAACATTTCAATGTTTTATAAATATTTTTAGATACCAAAATATTCAATTTTAATCCATGTTTTATTCTTTTATTACAAAAGTGTAAGATTTAAAAGTTTATGTAATGAAATATTTTTAGATATTTGAGTTAATTAGTTTGTTTGCTTTTACATTTATGAGAACTGTTTGTATAACATACCTTGCAACTTTAAAGGAAGAATTTTTATTTTAATTAGTGTGAGTTTTCATCAAATAATCTTGTGGAAATACTCTCAAGGTGTTGAGTCAACAATTTCTTTGCAGTAAAATAACTATATATATAACTTAACATCAGTCTTATTCAAGAATGATGTTTAAATTATTTTTAACATGAGGATAAGCTGTGTTGAAACAATATTTTGCCAATCTAATCTGATGATTGACTACAGTTTGAACTGTGGCACTTAGTTTTTTTGAAAACAGGTTCATTGCATATTCAGTAGTTATCTTTGATTCAAAGTCACATATGTTTGGGTATTCTTTGTACTGTAAATATACAATTACCATTTTTTTTGTCTTTATAGATTCTAGAAGTGACAGTGATGACAGCATGAAGACAGAGAATGGTTAGTTTTATATTAAGATATTCTTGTATATCAACTTAAACTAGTATATTTATAGATCTTAATTTTTCCACAAAGTCTTAAAGGTTGTATTTGAGATTTTAAAATTTTTTCTTTATTTTACAAAATTTTATAATTTGAACCCTTTTTCCTTGGGCTGAAGCAGTTTGTATCACTTCAACTGGGGAAGGACATTTATGTAAAAACATGGTAACTCTGAGAATTCCCCACTAAACCTCGTTAAATTTTGTTAAAGTTTTTATGTGTTTTGTACCCAAAGAATGACATTAATTTAATTATGTCTTTCTATTTATTTTCACTCACTGTTAACATAGTTTGAGTGCAAGGTGATTTTTATTTTAAGTATAAAAATACTTTCTGATACTCTCATAAATAGCTATTCTTGTTCAGTGCTGTCCTCTATAGGCAAAAACTGTTTTGCATGCCACAAGCCTTGAGATCCCATGTACCCAATGATTAACATGGTTCAACTGTGTCTCAAATGTAAATCATCATATGACAAACTTCCATCAATAGGAATGTGAAACATACTCCTGATGCATGTAACTCCTTCTATTTGATTCTACCAAACTATCTCTACTTGTTTGGCAGTGCTTGTGTAAAGATGTTTTTAATGTGCTTTTCAATCATGTTTTTTTCTTGAAACTTAGTGCATTTTGAAAAAATTAATTCTGAGGTGGAATTAATCTTTTCAATTTTCAAAAGTTTGTGAACTTCAAGATAACTTATTTTTTCCCAGTTTTAATTTTTTTAACCTGATCATTCATTGTTAACAATGAATTCTAAAGTTCAAGTTACCACTTCGGAGGTAATATCTTCTATCAGCGCACTTACACAAGCTGCAGGAGGGGATAACTCGGCTATAGAATTATTGGCTCTCATCTGCCATCAGATTGATTGTTATATGAGTCAACCCACTTCTCCTGATATTAACCTTATTCCTCCTGAACATGCTGAACCTGTTAAGGTAGACGAGAAATTTGGCAACCTTTTTCCTCCACCTGATTTTGCCATGTCTTCCTATGCCCCTACTGTAGAATCAGCTAGGCATAATATGGCTTTTTTAGACATGATTTCTCAGGTCTGTTTTGTTTTATCTATTTCCACGATTTCTTATAATCCACTTCCATTTTTGTTACATGATACCCCCTCTCAGTATTTTGTGTTCATCCCGTTCCCAGATATTAGGGTTCCTGCAGAGCATTTTGCCTCTCAGATGGTTGAGGATGCTAGCATGCCTCGTTTTCCATGGGCTTTGGATCAGTTTGCTTTAGCCTACCATCAGGCTGAATTCCTTTTCTTGATTCTAAACAGTTGGAATTCATTTTACCCATGTGGGGGGTGGGGGTGGACCCTGATCATCCTGTTTGTTTATCTCACTCCTTTCTGAGGCACTCCACCGAGATCCTGAGGAATTTGTGAGGGATAGCTTCTCCTCATTTTTCTCCATGTTGGAACATTTGTCTTCTTTGGCTTTTTCCTTACACACGTGGTTTCTCTGTTGTTGGGATCTTGTGGAGAGGGATGCTGTATTGTCCCAAGCTCGTTTACCATCTCCTTATCTCTAGGACTTATGTGTGGCTTATTTTCTTTAGCTGTCTGTTTTTAGAAATACTCTTAAGACTTTGGAATCCTGTGTTGAATCAGAGAGACAGCAATCGACCCTTTCATCTTTGGTTGATTGTTTCTTTGTCTCATTCAGAGCCTAGAGAAGCCCCTATTACTCTTTCCTATCTGCTTCTTCCTAGCCCCTACCTCAAGGGGTTCCTCCTCTCGTCAGATTATTTGAAGCAGTCGGACACATTGCCAACAGTACTGGTTGGTTCCAATCCAGTGGGGGCTCACTCAACCAGTTTTGTTCCCCTATGGTAAGTTTTCACCACAGATTTATGGGTTTTTTGGGTATTATCCAAGAGACTTCTCATCTACTTTCTTTCCCTTCTGTTGTTATCTCGGGTACCCATATCCTTTCCATTACCTCAAGACCTTACCACCTATCAATGTCTGTCTGAAGCGGTACAGAATCTTTTCTCCCAAAAAGCCATCAAACCTGTAGCTATCCTTTTCTAGATTTTTATTCTGTACTGTTTGTGGTACCCAAGAAAACTGGATACTGGCAGCCTGTGATCGATTTGTTCTGCCTAAATCAATTTTTGGTTCTGTTCCCATTTACCATGGAATCTTTTCTCAACTTCAGGTGGGTTTTTTCTCCAGGTTTATGAATGACCAAGGTAGATGTCACAAATGTGTATCTGCATATTCCTGTATCTCGTCTGTTGAGGCACTAGCTTCGGTTTGTTAATCATAGGGTAGATTATCAATTTCACGTCCTGTACATTGTTATTTGGATCATTTTCTTCATCTTGCCAGGAATTGTCTGGTCATGATACATTCCAACAATTCTATGGTGGTGGCTTATATCAATCACAAAGATGGTACCCATTTTTGTTCCCTTTGTGGTCAAACCTTGGATCTCCTTTTTTGGGCCCGCATGCTTGACATTTGACTCCTTGCATGCAATGTTCTGGGTGCATTCAATCATGTTGCAGATGTGTATCTTCCCGTCCATCTTCTTCCCAAGGTGATTTCGATCATCCACACCACTTCGTGTCAAGTTCTTTTGATTGCTCCTTAGTGGCTGGCACAACCTTGGTGCCTGTGGCTGCTCCAGCTATATTCTGCCTCACCATATCCTCTCACTCCATCCCTTCTATGTCAACCTCGGTCACTGGCATTTCATCCAGCCCTTCATATTCTCCATTTTCATGACTGGTTTTTATCTGTCCCTGCGAGTCGCTTCGTTTTTAGCTTGTTCTATTAGCCCCTTCCTCTATGGATGTTTATCAACATAAGTTGGACATTTTCCACTGTCAGTCTTTGGTCAATCCACTGTTTCTCTTTTTACGGAGTTCCTCATTTGGATGTTTGATCAGAGGGTCTTTGGTTTCCTCGATCAAGAGTTATCGAGCTGCCTTATCCCGCTCTTTTCATTTTTACCTCTCTCTGTTGTTGCATTCCTTCTAGATTTGTCATCCTCCTTGGTGCACAGTTCTTCCGGATTGGGATGTCAATGTGGTTCTTTACTGCCTTACTTTGCCTACATTTAAACCTCTTTTCCTCGTGTTCAATATTTCACTTATTGCTTCAGACTTATTTCCTTCTCCTATTGGCCTGTGGGCATCGTCGGTCTGACTTATTGCTATTACCCTACGTTTTCCTTTATTCAGATCGATTTTTCCTTCCTAAAACTTCAGTGGCTCATGAGGGTAACCCCTCCTTCTTGCCAATTTCTCTTCCATTTCCCACCTATATCCTCAGTCTGATGCAGATAAGTTACTCTGTACCATATGTGCTCTTTTTTTGTTATATTGCCCCCATGGCTTCATTCAGTGGCAGATATTTTCTTTTCGTGACCTTTCTTCTTCCACCCTTACCAATTGGATTTGGCTTTTAATTTTATTGGCTTATACTTCCTTGTCTACTTCTTTTCATAATTTGTTTCAGGTGTCTTCTCATCGGATTAGGCACCTTACCTTTTCCCTGGCATCTCATCTCCATTGTCTCTTGGAGGAAATTTTTCAATCGTGCATGTGGACTACACCACATACATTCATTTCTAATGAATATACACATGTAAGCTATGAAGCTCAAACAAATCTGTTGAAGATGGGCGTTGCACCTGTCAGTGGTTGAAAAAATTTACTTCTTTCAACTGCATTCATTTAGAGAACTTTGAAATGTACAAGTCAAAAGTAATGTAAGCATCTTATAGTCTATACGTACTTCTATACAATTGCCATTGTGTTATTTAAGATACAGAGTGCGAAAGTAAAAGCTGTACCTGACCCAAAAAATTGCCATTGTTGAGCTCATAAAGCTTTTTTTGGATGATTCCAGAAATGCCAATTTTTTTCCTACTAAAATATGGACAGTTGCAACCAGCATTAAACAACGTTTCTCCAGTGCTGTTTTTCAATGTTCATCAGGCTTTGCAGCTTATTATTAAGTATTTTTCTGACTTTCAGCCTTTTATCCATTTCCTTCCACTTTTCTATACATCTGTGTGATGCAGAGAAACCATCTGTGAGCTGCATAGTGGACTCTCTGAAAAGTTTGCAAAAAGGGCATTGACTGATACTGAGTATATGAGTCACATTTGCTCAATTCACTCATTATTTGCCAGTTTCTGAAATAATTTTCAGCAATGAATTATCTTTTCACTTTGTTTGCTGGAAAATTTGGCCACTTGGAAGGATCAGAGAAATCTTCAACATGATGCTTTGACTTCACAGTATCTTCCAGTTCCACCAGTTTCTGCTTGTCTTGCTCCAGTGGGACCTGGTCATCAGCTGATAGCAGTAATCCATTATCTATCTCTCTGTGAATTATGTCCATGTAATTGTCCTCCCAAGTTTCTTTGGAGGGGAGGGTGACAAGACATCAGTAGCATTTTCTGAAATCAGCTGGTATTATCAGAATTTTTTCAGTGATCCTTTCAGCTTTGTTTTTCTAGATTCTTTCATCTCGTTTTTCTTTATTTTGGGTTTTTCATACTTGTATTGCTTTGGAGATATTTTTCTGTGCCTGTCACTGGTCATTGTTGCATTGCAAGATAAGTTTGAGAAAGCACTTAACAGTTATAAGCAGTTGATATCCAGTTTAACACACTCACTATGGGCTCAGCCAAATCTGCCAAGTTTGTGACCTCAAATTAACCATTATAGTTTCCATACGATAATTTCTAATATATTTTGTGTATTTTTACAAAATTTTGCAAGCTTTCACTAAGCATTAAGTCTTTTGTAGACATAAAATTAGAAAAATCTCTTCTTGAACATATGGAGTCAAAATGTTGACTACTACTTCAAAGCGATTTACATGTTAAGGTTAAAAATACTTTGCTTCATATGAAAATTCTCAAATTTCATTTGCATAATATCTGAAACCTCCTAGATATATTTCAAACAGTATTTTTTCAGTAAAACAATATATATTTTCTGTTATTTTCTCTACCCCTAGCTCTATACAAAGTTGGTAAATTTGACCAACCCTGTAACCATTAAAAAAAATGAAAAAAATATAAATTACTTTTTTTTCTAGAGTGACTTCAAATTGTAGCATGAAACTACATTTGTTTATTCTAAATAGCTTTAAACTTGTAATAGTATACATCTGTTTTTACTTGAATTTTATTATTTTATTGTCCTTTCAACCATATCTAACTAATAATATTGCCACACAAGTTGTAAATCACTTGGTGAATATGCAACTTGTGTTACCCTATTGAATTACAGTAATGCATGGGGCTATTAGCGAGTGTATCCCATGAAAATTTTTTTTCTTCTTTATTTTACGTAATCTAACCTTATCTAAATTTAAAAGTGTATAATTTTTACATTTTAGTTGCTTTTATAATAAATAAAGAATACACATGAAAAACATAAATACTTACTTGGGTCTTCTTGCTGTTTATTGTTAATGAAACTTAACCCTACTTTTTTATACTAATAGTACTACTGCACTAAATAATTTTTTATTTGATTAAATAATGCACCAAAGGACATAGAATAATAGCATGTAAAAAGCAGACAATGTTATATAACTATGATAGTTTTTCTATCTTTCTAACTATGAGATAAGAGCTAATAAAATTCAGCTTAACTTGTTGATGTGTTTCCCATGGGAATAAAATTTGAATTAGAAGCAAAACAAACAATTCGCTGTACAGCAAACCATGTAATATAATACATCATTTGATAGACTAAAACTTTGCTTTCTATTGGTTCTAAATAATATAGTATTAAATGTCAGAAAGAACTATTGGCAATTTGTGGAAGAGACGATGTGACAGGAGTGCATGGCAAGAAGAGTCTGATTTTCTAGTTTATGGCTCTGTAAGATTGAAGGCTATAAAAATTGTTTTGTCTGAGCAATGACAATATTATAATGAGCAATTTACATTAAATTTTTTTACTTCTTGGATGGTAGTAAATACATTAGAGAAAAGGGGATGTCTAAAGAGCAATGTCACAATTCTCATACTAGTGGAGATTGAAAATATTTTTTTTAATATTGCGTTGTAAAATTAAGAACTTAAAACATATAATATTAAAATTTTGATAATTAGCTATATTTTGATGTCATGTTTATTAGTATATCATGATGTTAAAGTACTTTAATTAGACTTTGAATATAACTCAGTAAAACCTCATGACATATGCAAAAAATTATGCCTATATGGAAGGAGTTAATTAAGCAATAAGAACTAAAATTCACTTTGTAATAATACAGGTTGAAACCAAACACAAAGTTACAGTAAGAAATCAAAAACTGACTAGACTGATAGTGGTCATTCTTTATATCATTTTTAAAAGGATTGTAGAAATTTCTAAAACCAGCTAGAATAGTGCATAGAACACTTTGGAAATATTAAGAAATCATTCACATGTGAAGCCATAAGTTAAGAATGAGTATGTGTATGAATACATATATACATAAATTTGGAATCTAATTGTAGTTTGTAATTCACATTTTAGTATTATGCATTATTCAATTTCTTAGTTCAAAAGTGAATATAAAAAAATTGCTAAATTGTATATCACATGGTACATCATCTGCATTTGCTCAGATTGTATTGTGAGCATCATAAAAAGAATTAGAAACTCATATTACCAATATTGACAAGTTATAAGATCCTCCTGCCATTTCTTCTTAAAGTATTTATGTAAGTAAAGCCGTTATTACCATTGCAGAGTTTGTAAAGTGGTGATCAAGATGATATGCTGATAGGAAGTTAGTTTTTAGATCCAAGAACAACTTAATTAGGAAGCCTGGTAAAATACATTGAAAATTTGGGGTATTAGCGTAATAATGTTTTATTTCAAAATGCATATATAAAACTTGCAAATTGTTTTCTGTTTTTGTTTACATCTTTCACTTGCAAAATTCGACAAAGTTTAGCAAGTATGATGCACAAGTACAAAAACTTCATAACATTGGAAGTAGGAGAGATCATTGTTTTCTATATATTTTGTATTTACTCTTCTATGTTTTAAGAAAAAGAAATGAAATTTAAGAATGTATTTGTAAATAATAATATATATTTATGCGTAATGTATGGTAAACGAAATGTTACTGTATTTTACAAATTACTGGTACACTAGTACTAAGGCTAAGGAGATTAAAACATCTGTATTCTTTAAAGGCCAGTTTTATGCTATTGGATATGGTAATGGGAGCTGCACATGTGCCGCATGATTTACAACTTGTGTAATGGGATTATTAGTCAGACACAGCTCAAAAGTCAATAAAACAAAAAATTAATAAATATAAATAGATGTATACTGTTATGAGATTTTAACTATTTAGAATACACACTTATGGCTTCCTGTTATGATTTGCAGTCATTCTAAGTGAAAAAAAGGTTAACTTAGATTTATTTCCTAATTTTATATAGGGGTTACGAGGTCAGTCAAAAACTTGCTTATAAAAATAATTCTAACATATAAACAGTTCTGTGAAATAATGAAACATAAAATAAAATTGCACAAATACAAATTACTGACACAAAAATAAAATTAACCATACATACCAGATCAGCCCTATTGATTGTGATTAGTCTTTAAATAGTTTTAAGAAATATTCTAGAAATTTCTAGAATCAGATTACAGCTTTGCGGAGAGCACAGAGGCGCAGCCTTGGGTTTTGAAATTTGAAGTAGTCTCTCAATTTTTTTACTCAAAACATACTCATTTACGTGCTCACACCCTGGTGGGAAAATTTTTATAAGCTCATAATTTATAACTTATCTCTCATTCTAATGATAAACAAAATTGTACTTGTTTTTTACTTAGTTTTAGCTTTCATATTATAATTTGTGCATTGGGATTAAATTCTCAGTGTTTTTAAATATCTGAACACAGGCTCGGTCAATTTGACCAACCATGTGACCTCTTTGTACTCATTTAAAGTCTTTATAGATTTAATACTTTTAACATCTGATTTAGCTTGTATATCTTCACAAAATATCAGTCTTTCAGTTAACATTATATGTCTTTCACATACAAAAAATCATATTTTTTAGCGAAGAATTTTTAATAAACTAAAATATAGATTTGTTCATGAATATTTTGAGTATTTGTTTTGAATAGTCCCTGTGCAAAGTAATTTTCATGTTAAGGTTAACTAATTTTATCTCAAAAATTTCTAATTTCCTTTGTGTAATCCCTAATCTCTCTACCCTATCTCAAAATGGGATCAGTCAATTTGACCGACCTCGTAACCACCAAAAATAAATCTAAATTACCCTTTTTTTCTTAATTACTTCAAATTGTAACATGAAACTACATACGTTTATCCCAAGTTCCTAACAGTATACATCTAGTTATAATTAAATTTTATCATTTTATTGCCCTTTGAACAGTGTCTAACTACTATCCGCATCATCATAAATTGTAAATCACTCACATTATGCTAACGAATTATATTACCCACGAGCTACTATGAACTGCTCGCCTGTGTGCCTCATGAAACCTTTTTATTATGTTGTTATTTATTTTACCTGATCTAATCTTAACTAACCTAAAAGGATCCCTATTTTTACATTTTAGTTACTTTTATAATTAGACATAA